ATAAGTTAAAGTGGCTTAGTGGCCAAGGACACATCTAAGTGCTGGGTGTTGGTGACTTGGGTTCAAAACACACCAGCTTCTCCATTTTAAATAATGAGTTAACAAGTTTCTTGTTTGATACGCCCTTGATAAGCCTCTATTGAGTATCAGGCCGTATAGCCGATACTATACGATACACACTGATATAGTGGCTTGTCGGACCAATACGCATGATAGGAAGGATACACCTCCAGTCACAGTGTATCATGTATAAGTGCCTTTCGAAAACCCAATATAGGGTGTATCATATCAATATTTTTTTTTTTTGATAAATACGTATAGTATCAATATTTTAAACCTTGCTCCAAACCAGACCATGAACACCCCTAGTTAGGGGTGATACTTGTCACCAGGCCTTGTATCGTATCGATATTTGTTTTTTGATAAATATGTATAGTATCAATATTTTAAACCTTGCTCCGAACCAGACCATGAACACCCCTAGTTAGGGGTGATACTTATCACCAGGCCTTGTAATCTCTTTTATCTTTTCATTTTTATGATTGGTAACTAGGTTCAACTGTGGTGATCATTTCTTCAGGTATTGCCTGGGCCAATGAAGCCCTATTATAGAGACTTGCCAAAAATGATGCAACTAGGAGACTTGCATTATGGAAGAACTTAGTAAACCAATCTATTGTTGAGCCAGATCCATGGTTGCCACTGCATATATAAAATTGGGGGCAACCAGAATTCCATTGCACAACATGCTTTTAGATCTTAGCTAAAATTTTGGTCCCAACAAAAAAACATCTAAATATCTGATCAAGGGTTAAAACATCAAAAACAAAAATGTACCCCTGGCCAATCCAGAAAGATGTAGGACATCCTGGAAATGGATGGTTGACTTTCCCCAGTAATATGGATAAGTGATCTATGACAAGATATATCTTGTAGGTTCCTCCTTTACCCATGGAAGTTGCAAGTGGAAGATCAAGTCAACATTTTTCTAACTTTTCCGTTTATTCCTTTGTCAAACTCCCTGAAAGACATTTTTCTTCTTCCGGTTAGGGGATATTCTAGTTTTTGGTCCCCTTCTCCACTTGGCTGTCTCTCCTGTTCCTTCTTTTTTCAGGACCTTTCATGAGTCCCTTCCTTTACTCCCCCTCAGGCTCTATTGGATGGCCCTATTCTTCCTAAAGTCAAGGCATTTTGCTGGAAAACCCACCTTGAAAAGAATTATTATGGGTGAGATGCTCCATAGAAACAGAAAACTTGGTTCACTACCCCTCAAGTATATGTCCATTACTTATAAATAATGGTGAAGATGTCAACCACTAATTCATATCTTGCCATTCTGTTTTGATTTTATGGAACCACCTCACCCCTTCGATACTTCTTGGGGATCTCCCCTTGATATTATGAATCTTTTTAAAAATCAAATGCTTCCTCTACAACCAAAATGGTGAAAGTAATGTGGAGGTATTCAATGGCTACCACCTTTTGGAGTGTGGTGTGAGGAATGACAAAATCTATGATGCAAGAAGTTCCTTCTATTATATTTATCAAAAAAAAAAAAAAAAGAAGTTACTTCTATTATTAACTGTCTTGGTGAGTGGAACATCAGGTAACAACTAGAGATGGACTTGGAGAAGTCTATATTGTTTGTTTCCATCTTAAGGAGGTATCAGGGTGTTACGCCTTAATCAACAAAGAAGGCTGGTTTAACATTTTGGGTTGCACTTGACAGTGGAAGAATCAAGTTCAACGTTGATGGGTATGTATGCCTTATGTAATCTGAGAGAGTATGGCATTGACTGAGGGAGGGTATCTCCCTAAGGGCTTAATTGATGACACTACTTCAAGGGTTTCACATGTTTGGGTTGCACTTGACAAGTGGAAGAATCAAGTTTAATTTTGATGGGTGTATGTGTGCCTTGGGAAAATAAGAGAAGGATTGGGGGAGAGAGGGAACATATCTCTAAGGGCTTTGTTCATGACACTACTTTAGGAGTTAAAATTTTCTTTTTACCTCTGATTGGAATGATATTGAAGTGGATGGAAACTGTCAGGTAATAGTTGATTGGATGTCCTCTTCTGAAAAATAGGCTCTATCCCCTTTTATTTTTATCAACAGCAGGGATTCTTTCCTTATTGTCATTCAACAAAACTCTCTGAAAATGTCAGTGACAATAAAAGCAACATGATATGATGCTGAAGCAGATACTTTTCATCCTTGGAGACTATCCTCGTAGTCAAAAGTGAATTTGTCAGATACTTTTATTGTCAGTGACAATAAAAGCAACATGATATGATGCTGAAGCAGATACTTTTCATCCTTGGAGACTATCCTCATAGTCAAAAGTGAATTTGTCAGATACAATTTGATAGATGGCAGCCACCTTTCTAAGTGGCTACCCTTTGGTTTCTTCCAATAAGAAATCCAACTAAACGGTTAGTGCCATTGGTCTTTTTCTGAAAATTTATTACTCTGTTTTCCACTTAGAAAACTTTTTAGAGACTAACTTCTATAGCATATGAAGGTTTTAGGTCTTACCTTCACTGTGCAATGTTGCAGCAGAATACTGCCTCAGTGATCTAGCCTTCTCCAAGCATACCTCAGCATCCCGCCAATGTGAAAGGCTGGCATATAAATTTGCAAGATCTTGCCAAACTTCAAACTCACTGACCTTATCATCCTCGACCTAATATAGCAATAAAAACAATGATGTAATTTAGAAATGACATTGTATTAATTTATGAAACTAATAAATGATTAAATACAAAATTAGTTTATGGACAAATACCTTGGAAACAAGATATTTTAAAATAAGTAGGACCAAAACAGAATATATGCTCTGTAAATTTAATAATAATAGAACTTTCAGATGGACTAAGAAAATTGCAAATGGGATGGCTGGCTCATTAGCTATGCAAGGGGTTCATATTGAGCATTTGTACTGGGCAGAATTGTCATAGGATATGATTGTAAAAGATAAAGGGCAGCTGGGTTGTTCTTCCTACCTTAATAATAATAGGAGTGCATATCAGCATAAACTAAGGATTGGAGACCAAGAGATAACTCAAATGACCTCTTTCATTACAATTGTTTGATAATTCACAAGGGAGAATTGAGGAGGATGCCGCTCATAGAATTAGAACAGGATGGGAAAAATGGAAGGGCACATCCAAAGTCCAATGTGATAGGCAAATACCACTTACGTTAAAAGGAAACATCTATAAAACAGTTGTCAGGTCAGCAATGTTGCAAGGAGCAGTGTTGGCAGTCAAGAAACAATATGTCTGAAAATGAGTGTAGCAGAAATGCATATACTGAGCGTCTCGAATATGAATTCAGGCGGTTCAAATGGCTCTCGAAGGATTTGTATATCCAAATCAGATGGATCAGGAGATCTGCAAATAGCTTGGCTAACAGCTTAGCTAAGCAAGGGGTACAAAGAAACAATATGTTCTGGGCTCATTTGTAATTTTTCGGGGGCTAGTCCTATTTCGGACTGTCCTTTCACAACTCCTTTCTGTAATCTTCTCTTTTTCCCTTTATAATCAATAAAATTTCTTCTTTGTGTTGCTGATCAAAAAAAAAGAAAGAAATGCATATACTGAGATGGAGAGGGGGCAAATCTAGAAAGGATAGCATTGGAAATGTAGTCATTCAAAGGAAAAGCCAATAGCTCCAAGAGGTGATAAAATGAGAGAAAATAGACTAAGATGGTCTGGTCACATGCATAGAAAACCATATACAACACCCTTGAGAAAGGAGGAAGACAATTAGGAAGAAGAGAAGGAAGAGAGAAGACAAGTCAAAGAAGAGGATTTGAAAATTTACTATTTCTCCAAACATAACATAAAACAGCCCTAACATAATGTGTATTTATAAGAAACCTAGAAACTGAAAATTACAATTAAATCCCTACCAAATATAAAAATGCAATTAAATCCCTACCAAATATGAAATTACAAATAGCCCCTACTAAGAGGAAATTTTACAATTAAACCCAAATTTTGCATTAATCAGAGCAAACTCTATATTAATGTCATTTACACCTAAAATAAATACGAATTCCATTTGGCGTTTTGGTTTCAAAGTGATCTCCATCAATTCTCCCCAGCAGAAAAGAATTATCCTCGAGAGGTAAGGGAATGATACTGCTCTAATTGATTTGGGTCTAGGTGACGAAGTTCCTCTTCTGAAATCCAAGTAGCATCGGTGTCAAGGTGGCCTTTCCATTTCACAAGATAATGCTGAAAAACACCTAGGCCGAATGTGACAATTTTGTCTTGGAGAATGGTAACCGGAACTAAAGGTGAAGCAATGCTGGTTGTGGGTACCTGCAGGTACTCTTGATTTGCTTGGCATGTGAAGACTAAACTTGTGGTAGAATGGGAACAGGAACTAAAGGTGAAGCAATGCTGGTTGTGGGCACCTGCAGGTAGAGTAGGAGGCTTGAAGGTGCCTCGATAAGGAAACAAATCCTCCACATTGAAAGTTGAGCTAATTCCCATGCCCGAAGGTAAATCAAGTTCATATGAATTAGGCCCTATCTTTTGAATGATGTGAAATGGACCGTTGGCTCGAGCATATAACTTTTTAAAGGAGTGCTTTGGACAACGCTCAGGACACACACGAACCATGACATAATCTCCATTGAATTCTTGATTTATGTGATGTGTGTTTGTAGCAAGTCTATAGTTTTCATCAGTGTTTTAAAAGGCGTGGGAGGCGTGCCTCCAGGGGAGGCGCTCCCAAAACACCCTGAGGCGTATGCCAGAGGCAACAAAACCTCTGAGGCATACGCCTCATGTGCTTTTTTCATGAGGCGTTTATTAGTAGAAGAAAAGAGGAGCAATAAGGAAGAAGAAGAGAGAAGAGAGAAGAGAAATGTTTGGAGAGTTCAAAATCAGTCTGGCAGCGCCAACTTATATTATTATATATAGGGCAACCATAACTAAAAGGGAAAAGACCCTTATGCCCCTACTGTAGTCAAAGTACATAAACAATGATAAAAAAGCTATTTTAACCAGACCAAACAGACCCTAACTAAGCAGAATAAAAACATAAAATGTAAACATTTCGACACTCCCCCCCTCAAGTTGGGACATAGATGTTAATCATGCCCAACTTGTCACACAAATTATTATGTTGTACATGATGAAGGCCCTTGATGAAGATGTTTGCAAGTTGTTTTTCTAAACTGAAATATGGAGTGCACACTTCTCCACTCACAAGCTTTTCTCTAATAAAATGTTTGCCCACTTCAATATGTTGTGTTCCATCATAGAGGACTGGGTTAGCAGCATTATTGTCACAATAGAGTGACATAGGTTTGTTAACTACAAAACCCACTGCAGCTAAGGACACCCACTGCATAGGCAATATCAGCCATGGTCATAGACAAATATAAGAGTCTCCCTACAAGTCTCTAGAACTTCTTCACATCTTTCAAAACTCCCTCTGACTGTCACCCAATGGGTGAATCAATTGGCTTCACCCCAAACTTGCCTGCATCTTCTAATAGATCTAGTACATATTTCCTTTGGGAAATAAATATGCCCTTTTGAGAGCGGGCGACTTCAATCCGAAGGAAATAATCTAAGGGGCCTAGATCTTTCACCTCAAATTGAGTGGCTAAGAATTTCTTCAGCTTCTGTATTTCACTCTTCTAGTCTCCGGTGATCACTATGACATCAACATACACAATTGAAGCTGCAATTTTTCCTTCAACCTTCTTCACAAACAGAGTATGATCTGACTGGCATTGTTTAAACCCCATCTGCTATACAACTAAATGAAACTTACTAAACTAGGCCCGAGGAGATTGTTTCAACCCATATAATGATTTTTTTTAACCTACACACCTTCTGCTCACTACCTTTGGCACAGAAACCTGGAGGTTGAGTCATGTACACCTCTTCCTCTAAGTCACCATTCAAGAATGCATTTTTAATATCCAACTGGTGAAGTTCCTAGTCAAGATTAGCTGCTTGTGAAATGAGGATTCTGATAGAATTCATCTTGGCTACTAGAGCAAAGGTCTCTCTACATAGTCTACTCCATATACCTGTGTAAACCCTTTGGCCACCAATCTGGCTTTGTACCTTTCTACCGTACCATCAGCCCTATGCTTCACTATGAACACCCACTTGCATCCCACTAGTTCCTTTTCTTCAGGAAGATCCACCAACTCCCAAGTGCCGTTTTTGTGCAAGGCATTAATTTTTTCCTTCATTGCATCTATCCATTCAGGTTTGGATAAAGCTTCTACCACATTCTTAGGGACAAAAACACCGTCAATGGAGGAAAGGAACACACGATATGAAGGTAAAATATGATCATAGGACACAAAGTGAGAGATAGAATGATTAATAGTACAAGATCTAACACGCTTTCTCTTAGCAATAGGAACATCAAGATCATTAATAACAGGAGGATCAATATATCAAGAGGTTCAGGCATATCAATGGCAACAAGTGTACCTGGCTGATGAGGAGGATACCTCTGGAGAGTCTGATGATGTTGGTTGCATAGTTTCAGGTTCCACGGCTCTTGAACGCTGCTGGCTCTTATGGCGGCAAAGAAAGACACGAAATGGAGGAGGATCAGGAAGAGGAGGTAATTTTGTTTGAGCCTGGGTGTAACCCTACTTTCCCCTGAGGAGAAACGAAGAAAAAAGGTTGACTCTCAAATAAGGATACGTCCATAGAGACATAATACTTGCGTGAAGCAAGGTCATAGCAATGGTAACCCTTTTGAGATAAATGGTAGTTAAGAAAAATACAAGGAATGGCATGAGGATCGAGCTTACCGCGAGTAGGGGACAAATCATGAACAAAGCAACGGCACCCAAAGACACACATTGGAATAGGGGACAAAGGAGTCATAGGAAACAAAAGTTGATGTGGGGCCTTATACTCTAGTAACCAAGATGGCATACGATTGATGATAGATGCAACACGTATAACAACATCCATCCAAAAACATTTCAGAACATTCATATGGAGTAATAAACAACGAGCTACATCGAGAAGATGACACTTTTTCCTTTCAGCGACATTTTTGCTGGAGTGTCCTAGCACAAGAGCTTTGATGAAGAGATCCAGACAAAGAAAAGAACTCCGTGAGATCACTATGGAAGTACACCTTTGCGTTATCCGACTGGAAAATGTGAATCTCAGTTAGGAATTGAGTAAAAATCATGCGTTGAAAATCTTTCACAATCTTTAGCACTTCACCTCTAAATCGCATAGGATAAAACCATGTATATCTAGAGTAGTCATCAATCAAAGTAATGAAATACTTATATCTAGTCTTAAAAGATAGTGTAGTAAGGCCCCAAACATCATAATAGACAATATGAAACGGAAATTTAGATCTTTTATTTCTTAAAGGAAAAGAATTTCTACAATGTTTGCTCAATTGGCATGTCTGACACTATAACTCACTAACTAACAAAGACTTAAATAATTCGAGAAACATAAGTTTTAAAGACTCAAACGAAAGATGACCAAGATGACTATGTAGCCACAAGACCAGCTTTATTCTCCCACACGTAGAGACCATGTTTCCTCTACCAATCGTCTTCCCCGAAGCCAAATCCCGAAACACACATAAAGAAGGAAAAAAGGTCACTAAACAATTCAAAGAGTAATGTTGCTAACGGAAAGTAAGTTGATAGGTAATTTAGGA